ATTTTGGACATTGTTTGCATTTTTTTTCCTTGGCATCATCTCTTGTGGTAGTCTCCTCTAATGTGGTGCCTATTCTTCTTTATATATTCTATATGATTTTTACTATACCTTTCAATATCTTATTTTTCTTCAGGTGTTTCTAAAAAATAAGGCATCCTTCTTATTCTTTCTCTAAACTCCTGTTTCAAGGCCAGCATGTACTCTTCACCTTCTCCTGGCACCGGTTTATAATCTATATCAGGAAATATCAATGGTGGTTTCAATACTTTGTCAGGTAACTTTTCAACCCTGCTAAATCTAACGGCTTCAATATTGAAGTAATAGGCAGCACATCCACTTCCTTTATTCACAGCCGTAACTGTTTACACCAGGCAAACAGAGCAATGTCTGCTCTCTAAAGCTTGTGGTTTAGGCAAAACTATGCAGCAGCAGAGCTGGCTGGCAAAGAAATAGCGTAAACAGAGGGTGCAGAGACTGTGGCCACTGATGACCACTTCAGAAGATGTGCACTCCACCCTCCATGCAGCCCACTCCTGCTTCTTTGAGGTTGCCATTTGCTTGGTATATTTTTGTCCACATTTTGATTTTCAATCTATCTTTCTCTTCATTTTGTAGATGTCTTTTGTTGACAGTATATGGGGGGGAATTGGGTTTTGTTGTTGTTGTTGTTTATCCATTCCACTACTCTTTTTCTTTTGATTGGCACATTTAGTCCATTCGCATTAAGTATGATTATTGACAGGCCAGATTTCATTAGTGCCATATTGCTGTTTCTTTTTCTGTTGTTTCTCATTATTATGGTCCATCCCCTTGCCTTTGTTGTCTCTGCATGAAGGACTTTCCTTAAAATTTCTTGCAGTTTTGGTCTTGTTTTCACAAATTCTTTTAGTTCCTTCTTTTCTGTGATTTCTCCTTCATATTTGATGGACAGTTTTGCTGTGTTCAAAATCCTCAACTGTCTATTGTTTTCTTTCATCTTTCTGTAAATGGCATCCCATTGTCTTCTTGTTTTCGTGGTTTCTGCAGAGAAATCAGAACTTAATCTAATTGTTTCCCATTTTCACGTAAATCTTTTTCTCATGCCACCTTGGTATTCTACTCATATATTTTAATTTGGATAATTTAACTATTGATGATATACCAATCAACGTATTTAAACTAACAGATGCTGCCATAGACGTGCTCACCAAGTTGTGTCAAGAAATCTGGAGGATAACCACTTGGCCAAATGACTGGAAGAGATCTATATTTATTCCTATTCCAAAGAAAGGTGACCCAACAGAGTGTGGAAATTATCAAACAATATCATTAATATCACATGCAATCAAGATTCTGCTGAAGATTATCCAAAAATGACTGGAACAGCACATGAACAGAGAACTACCAGAAGTACAGGCTGGGTTTAGATGGGATCATGGTACTAGGTATATTGTAGCCAATGTTATATGGATCTTGGCTGAAAGCAGGGAGTACCAGAGGAATGTCTACCTATGTTTCATTGATTATGCAAAGGCATTTGACAGTGTGGATCAAAACAAACTGTGCCTGTCTCTGAGAATAATGGGAATCCCAGAACACTTGATTGTGCTAATGCAAAACCTATACTTGGACCAAGAGGCAGTCATCAAAACAGAGCAAGGAATCACTGCATGGTTCAAAATTGGAAAGGGGTATGCTAAGGATGTGTCCTATCTCCATACATTTTCAACCTGTATGCAGAACAGATTATCCAGGATGCTGGGCTCTATGAGGAGAAGTGTGGCATCAGGATTGGTGGAAGATTCATCAACAATCTGCATTATGAAGATGGCACAACCCTGATTACTGAAACTGAGAAGGACCTGCAGCCTTCAATAGGGATTGAGGCTCAGTATCAAGAAGACATAGATTATCACTACTGGGACAATTGTCAGCATCAGGATGGATGGTGAAGAGATTGGCATTGTTGACAGCTTTAGTTTCCGTGGCTCCACAGTCAGCATTCTTGGCACCAGCAACCAGGAAATTAAAAGACATATTGTGATGGGAATGTCTGCTGTTAGGGACCTCTCCAAAATGCTGAAGAGCAATGGTGTCATTCTGGAGACTAATGTAGCCTGATACAGGCCATGGTCTTTGCAATCACTTGCTATGCATCAGAGAGTTGGACAATGACTAGGGAGGATAGAAGGAGAACTGATGTCTTTGAGCTGTGGTGCTGGAGAAGAGTATTGAATATACCATGGCCTGCTAAAAAATGAACAGGTTCATCTTGAAGAGGGTTAAACCAGGTTGCTCCTTGGAGGCAAAGATTCTCAAGCTTCATCTGACATACTTTGGACATGTTGCAATGAGGTAGCAGTCCTTGGAGAAGGACGTCATGCTTGGGAAGGTGGAGGGACAGCACAAGAGAGGAAGACCCTCTATGAGGTGATTAATTCAGTGTCTGGGGTAATGGAGGTAGGTGTATCGGAGACAGTGAGATTGGCACAGGACAGAGGACTGTTGTACGTAGGGTCACTGAGTTGCAGGTGACTGAATGGCACATAACAACAACAATTTAACTATAGTATGTCTTGATGTTTGCTTTTTGAGTCTTTTTGTTGTTTGAAGAGCTTCTTAAATTTGGATTTCCCCATTCTTCATAAAACTGGAGAAATTTTTTTCTAGGACCTCTTCCACAATTTTCTCTTCTGTCCTACTTTTTTGTCTCTCCAGTCTTAATGTTCTGGATTGCACTTTCATGCTTTCCTATTACTTCCAGTATGGTGTTGGCTGTACCCTCTGTCTCTTGTGATAATTTTTTAAGGTCTTGTACCTCTTTATCTTTAGTTTAATTCTTTCTCCCATCTTTTGCCTTTTCTTCTGTAGTTGCTTAAGTTGTTCTTATTGATATATTTCTTCTGGTTTGCTGTCTGTGGAATAATCTCTTTCTTAATGTTTCCATTATTTCTTCCATAATTTGTACCTTCTTCTGTAGCTGTTCAAATAAGTCCACATCAACATATTTCTTCTGGTGTTCCATGTCTGGGGTATTCATTGGTTCTGCAGTATGTTCTGCTTTTTTGTTTGTTTGTTTTATTTACATTTATTATTAATTTCAGTAAAAATTTACAGAGACTTTGGATTTCCATTCATTCATTGTTGCACTTTTCTCCCCTCCAAACTCTTCCCCCCTAGTACACTACCCTCTTGGAATAGTAAAAGAAAAATTCTTTCATTGTTTTACAACCCCCACACACAGGTCCATTACACCATGTAGCCTTCCCTCTAGACACCTGTCATGACAAAAATAGCTAATCACATATCCCTTTTAAACAGTTTCCTCCTTCATCTGTTTCAGTACAGTATACATTATTGAACCCATCTTTCTTAGTCTCCCTCCAACCCTGATGTCAGCCCTGATTTACAACAATGGCATCATGCAGTATTTGTCCTTTTGTGGCTGAGATACTTCACTCAGCATACTGTCCTCCATGGGTCACCCATTTTTAATAATATTGCATTAGTTCCTTGTTTTTCAATGCAGTGTAGTATTCCATTGTTTGCATATACCACAGCTTCTCTATCCATTAGTTTCTTGATGGTATGCTCTGCTTTTTTAGGATAAGGTTCTTCTCTTTTTCCCCCATAATGTTTGGGGCTACCTGCTATTTTCCTGACATAATATAAATCTTTCTTGATTTATATTAGACTGTTATAATAGTGTAATGTCCCAAGGGAGAGTGATGTTCTATGGAGAACCTGTATATTGGTGCTACAGAAGTGGGGTGAGTTGTTCTCTGAAAAATCATGATGGATCCACTATTGTTCTCCTTTGGCTTAAGAAACCCCAAGCCTCTCTGTGTTGCAGTCATGTGAGTTCAAGGGCAGAAGTCAAGACTTTTATTTAAAACAAAACAAAACACCCTACAAAATGAACACTGAATAGACAGAATTCAGTTGCCTGTGCAGGGAAGTTGATCTCTGGATGCTTTGCTCATCAGCATCAAAAAAGAACAGTTCCTAACTTTAGAAAAGGTAGGCACCAGCTGGAGAGATCCCCACCAAGCTACATGCGATAACTGAGATGGTAGCCGGATAGAGGTAGGGCCTGCTCCTGCTATTCTACACTGAATAAAGAAAGCATAGCTGCCTGACCAGGGAAGCTGGTTTCTGCATGCTGTGCTCATCATCACAAGAAAAGACAATTCTAAACTTTAAAAGAGGCAGGCAATAGTCAGGTGAGAATCCTGCAATTCTGACGAGTAGCTCAAAGAGAAGTTAAAGATCTTAGGAAGGGGGAGCATTCCCACTGCACAGGCCCAGAGGATTCCTGAGACAATGAGTTGCCCTGTGCTATAAAGAGAACACTTTAAGTCCACAACTAATTAATAAAATAAAGAACTATCAACAACCTATTCAGACATAATAGAAAAAAACTAACACATATTAAGAAAAACTTCACATAATGTCAAGAAAGCAGTAGGCAGCTTCAAACACTGTGAAAGAAGAAAAAAAAATTAAGCCTTCTCTTAAAATAACATAACACGTTGCAGACCAAATGAGTACACAAGAGACAGAGATGTAGAAGAAATATATTGATGTGGTATCACATAAAAGAGGATACAAATAAAGAAAGAATGGAATCCAAAAAGAAACCAAATACCTCAGAGACAAGGAACCAGAAGAAATACATTGAAGTGGAGTTATTTGAACAGCTATGGGGAAAGATGCAAATAATGCAATTAAAAAAAACAAAAAGAAACCATAAATAAAGTTAATATCCCAGGAACAGAGAGCCAGAAGACATGTACTGATATGGAGAAACATGAGCAACTACTGAAGAAATTACAAAAGATGGAAGAAAGCATTGATAATATAAATTAAAAGGTAGAAGATATTAGAACATCAGAAATGGTAAAGCCAACACAATACTGCAATTAATAGAAGTGAATGAAAACACACTCTGGAATATAAAGATCCAAAGTGCAGATGTTTCTAATATGCTTGAGGATAAAAATTGCAGGATAACAGAATTCAGAGGAATCTAGCACTGTTTCTACTACTGTAGGCACATCACTTTCATCGATTTGAGCAAATCAAGCTAGAACCGACTTCTCTATCGCCTGGACACCGGGTCCCGGCTGAGGCTCTTTCTTTCTCCTTTTGGCTAAAAGCCCCCGTTCAGAGGCTGATTTGTCGCGGCGGCGGCGGAGATCGCAGGTCGCTCAGTCTTGCAGATGGGTCAGGGCCTGTGGAGAGTGGCCAGAAACCAGCAGTTACAACAAGAAGGCTATAGTGATCAAGGCTACCTCACCAGAGAACATAGCAGGAGAATGGCTGCCAGCAACATTTCGAATGCCAGTCATCGTAAACAAGTCCAAGGAGGCATTGACATCTATCATCTTTTGAAGACAAGAAAGTCTAAAGAACAGGAAGGATTCATTAATTTGGAAATGTTGCCTCCTGAGCTAAGCTTTACCATCTTGTCCTACCTGAATGCAACTGACCTTTGCTTGGCTTCATGTGTTTGGCAGGATCTCGCAAATGATGAACATCTCTGGCAAGGGTTGTGCAAATCCACTTGGGGTCACTGTTCCATTTATAATAAGAACCCACTACTAGGATTTTCTTTTAGAAAACTGTATATGCAGCTGGATGAAGGCAGTCTCACCTTTAATACCAACCCAGATGAGGGAGTGAACTACTTTATGTCCAAGGGTATTATAGATGACTCGCCAAAGGAAATAGCAAAGTTTATCTTCTGTACAAGGACACTAAACTGGAAAAAACTGAGAATCTATCTTGATGAAAGGAGAGATGTCTTAGATGACCTTGTGACGTTGCATAATTTTAGAAACCAATCCTTGCCAAATGCACTGAGAGAATTTTTTCGACATATCCATGCACCTGAAGAGTGTGGGGAATATCTTGAAACTCTTATAACAAAATTCTTACATAGGTTCTGTGCTTATAACCCTGATTTAATGCGAGAACTTGGCCTTAGCCCTGATGCAGTCTATGTACTGTGCTACTCTTTGATTCTACTTTCCATTGACCTCAGTAGCCCTCATGTGAAGAATAAAATGTCAAAAAGAGAATTTATTCGAAACACTCGTCGTGCTGCTCAAAATATTAGTGAAGATTTTGTAGGTCATCTTTATGACAACATCTACCTTATTGGCCATGTGGCAGCATGAAAGCACAATTGCTGAGACTCCATCTTTTAACTTGAAACTAAAGCTACCCAAGGACTTGATTTAGCAATTATAGGAGGTACAGTAGTTGATGGTTATTCTAACCTCTGTGTACAATCAAGCTTGAGTGTACAACCTTTTTTTATTTTTACTTTACTACTTTATTTTTTAGTAATTTCCTTGGAAAACTAAAGATTTTGCAAAATTTTTCTTAATTTTGCTTATCATGTTTTGCACAAAACAGAGCCATTGTCTGACATAACTATTTAAGAATGTAAAACTGACTGACCTTGTACTCTTAAAAGATGGTGTATTTGTGCATTAGATTTGCCTGAAAAACTTTATCCAGTTCCATTCTTTTTTAAAATAACCATGTAATGTAGACATATTTAACTAAAGAGATTTGTAATTGTTTTATTGTAAAGATTTTAACTAAAATTTTTTCCTTTTCTCTCAAACCAACTTCTGAATTAATTTTATTCTAATCTGAGATTATTGTTATCTTTGTAAATATTGGCTCTGACTTCAGATAGATTCTAATAACAACATTCTTTTTTCTTTGAAAAAAAAAAAGAAGAGATGAAACAGAGTCAGTGAGCTGGAATACAAGAACCTTAGTGGAAAAAAACTAGATGAGAAAATAGGAGACAGAAGGGAAAGAAAGAAAGAGAGAGAGAGAGAGAGAGAGAGAATATTATCATCAGATGTTGTTGTTATGTGCAATTGAGTTGCCTGTGACTCATAGTCTCATAGTGACCCTATATACAACAGCCCTAAAACCTGCTCTAACTCTTGCTAACCTTATTGTCTCTGACACACCTATCCCCATTATCCCAGCGATGGAATCAATCCATCTTATCAAGAGTCTTCCTCTCTGGCGCTGCCCCTCCGCTCTCCCAAGCATGACATCCCTCTCCAAGGACTGATCCTTCCTTGCAACATGTCCAAAGTATGTCAGACGGAGCGTCAGAATCCTTTCCTCCAAGGAGCAGCCTGACTTCACCCTCTCCAGGATGAACTTGTTTGTTCTCCTAGCAGTCCATGGTATATTCAATACTCTTCTCCAGCACCACAGCTCAAAGACATCAATTCTTTTTCTATCATCCCTAGTCATTTTCCAGCTTTTTGATGCATAGTAAGTTATTGAAAAGACCATGGCCTGTATCAGGTACACCTTAGTCTCAAGACTAACATCATTTCTTCTTGGATAGCCTGTATTTTAAAAAAAAAGTCTGAAATGTCTTGAGATTGAGCTTGAGTGAACCAACAAGTTCTTCAAAGAGCTCATCAAGGACAGCTCTCTACTCACTGGAGCTCTGAAGAACGAGGACAAAAAGATGGCCAACCTGAGCATTATGCTGAGCTCACCACATCACAGCCTGCCATCAGACAACCTTAGTTTGAGTCCTTGTTCTACTGCCTTTATTACTTTTTCAACCTTGAGCAGGTCTGTTCACCACTCTGAAAGCCCCTCCTCTATTTATGGAAGGGGAAAGTAATAATACCTACTTCAAATGACAATTAGATAACTAGGCTTAGAGGAAGGGAGCATTGATGGTGGTGCTAGAGCCAGAAGTGCTGTCCAGGCTGTGGTCATCGGTAGGGCACAAGGTCTGGACTTCAGAAAAGCACTTTTTTGGCGGGGAGAGGGGGTGTCCAGCCTTTGGAAAAAGACACCTGACCTGTGAGAAGAACTGCCTGGCCCTGGGGAGAGCCACCTTACAGTGGAGAGCTGTACGGCACCAGGGGAGTGCCACCTGCCCCTGGGGAAAGCCACCTGGCAGGAGAGAGCCACATGACCACTGGGGAGTGCCATACAGCTCCTGGGGTGTGCCACCCAGCCCCTGGGGAGAGCTGCCTGGTGTATATGAGGAACTTTACCTAAACCTCTTTCCTCCATCTCTTCCTCAAGTACACCTGTAAGTAACACCTCCAAAGCCCTTTTCTTTGTAAGTCACAAGTTTGTTCTCTCTAGATTTGCTCCCTTTCCTATAGATAATCTGAATACTGAGTCTTGTTCTAGAACCTGAATCCTAAGCCTGATTCCAGAGACAAAAGGGAAATATAACTACCAGCTAAGGAAGTGAAGTTGAATGGAGCCTCAAAGTTCATTCAGCCACACCCACTGGACTTATTCACCCAAACACCTTGCAGTCCAGAAGGCAGAAAATGTCATGAAAATATCCTCCAACTGAACAAAAAGGCATGTAGCTTCAACTCAAGACCACTAGTAAAGTGTTAAAGTTGACTCCCCTTCCCCTTCATCTCAAAGCCCCTGTTCAGCATAAAGGAACCAGAGTGTCTGTTGCCCAGTTCCCAAATAATATTTTTGTAATAGATTAGATAGATAGAAATTTATTTACCATTGGACTATCCCACCATTACCCTGTCTTTTCCAGTTCCTTCCAGATTGTTCTCATTTCCTTTATCCACTGTCTCCACCCACCAAATTGTGCAAACCTGTGATTTCATCTTTACCCATCCTCACCCTTCGGCTCCCATCCCTTACCCCCTTAAATCCCCATATATGTTTTTAACAATAAAATTTTTTTAAAAAGAAATTAGCTAATAGAAAAGCTATAATCACAGTAAAATATTGTAAGATATTGTTAGAGTGCTAGAAGATGAGCCACATTAGCTGGAAGAAACTCTAAATACACAATCAATGGCTGCAACAACGGGCTCGTGTGTGTTAACAATGATCAAAATGAAGGAATAATTCTGTTCCATGAAGACGGACAATAGAAAAATGAACTCTTCTTCCAACCACCAAAAAAGTCAGGAAAGCCAACTGATACAACAGCTTCTGGACAAGTAGGGACCTAGAATTATGAACCTGCAGGTGTGATGTACCTGAGAACCACAGGACCCCCAACCAATGTAGTGCTCTCACCAACAATATTTACACTAAGTAAAACCAAACTTTAAGAACTAATTTCTGGTTTACAGGAAATGCAAAGAAAAGGAGACTAGTCAAAAGACACCTGGAGAAAAACTATCACAGGATTAAACTCAACATTAAAATCTTAATTGGTTATATTAAGACATTCTTGAAACATTTGGAAATAAAATCAAATAAGAAGTAGTTAGAAAATTTCACAGAATTACTCTAGAAGTCCTAATCCACATGAAGAAGTGTTCAAAATCCCTAGCTCTAAGACAGATGCAAATCAAAACAAATATTAGATATCATCTCACCCCAGTAAGAATAGCAAAATTCAACAGAGCAGCAAACAACAAATGCTGGCAAGGTTGTGGAGAAACTGGAACCCTTATTCACTACAGTTGGGAGTAAAATGGTGCAACCACTATGGAAGGTAGTATGGCGCTTTCTCAAAAAATTGCAAATTGAAATAACATTTGACCCAGCAATTCCACTACTGGGAATATACCCTAAAAACACTAAAACTGCCAAGCAAGAAAATATGTGTACATCCATGTTTATTGCGGCTTTGTTCACAATAGCAAAGAGTTGGAAACAACCCAAGTGCCCATCAACAAACGAATGGATACAGAAGGTCTGCTATATTCGCACAATGGAATACTACACGGCATTGAAAAACAAGGTTGTTATTGTTATGTGCCATCGAGTTGCTTGCGACTCATAGCGACCCTATGCACAACAGCCCTAAAACCTGCTTTATCCTGTGCCAATAGCACTGCCTCTGACACATCCACTCCGATTACCCCAGTCACTGAATCAATCCACTTCATAGAGGGTCTACCCCTTTTGCACTAACCCTCCACCCTCCAAGCATGAAGTCCCTCTCCAAGGATTGGTCCCTCTTTACACCATGTCCAAAGTATGTCAAACAAAGCCCCAGAATACTTGCCTCCAAGGAGCATTCTGGTTTAACCCTCTCCAGGATGAATCTGTTTGTTTTCTTGGCAGGCCATGGTACATTCAATAATCTTTTCCCGTACCACAGCTCAAAAGCATCAATTCTCCTTCTATCCTCCTTAGTCATTGTCCAATTCCCTGATGCATAACAAGTGATTGCAAAGACAATGGCCTGTATCAGATGCACCTTAGTCTCCAAAGAGACACCATTGCTCTTCAGTACTTTGGAGAGGTCCCTAAAAGCAGACTTTCCCATCACAATACTCTTTTAATTTCCTGGCTACTGGTGCCAAGAGTGTTGACCATGGAGCCAAGCAGACTAAAGTTGTCAACAATGCCAATCTCTTCACCATCCATCCTAATGCTGCCAATTGGTCCAGTGGTGAGAATCTTTGTCTTTTAGACATTGATTCTCAATCCATACTGAAGGCTGCAGTCCTTGACCCTCTGCAACAAGCGTTTCAGGTCCTCCTCAGTTTCAGCAAGCAGCGTTGTGTCATCTGCATAAAGCAGATTGTTAATAGATCTTCGACCAATCCTGATGCCACACTTCTCCTCATAGAACCAAGCTTTTCAGATAATCTGCTCTGCATACAGGTTGAAAATGTATGGAGATAGGACACATCCCTGGCGTACACCTCTCCCAATTTTGAACCACACAGTGTTTCCCTGCTCTGTTTTGACGACTGCCTCTTGGTCCAAGTATAGGTTTCAAATTAGCATGATCAAGTGTTCTGGGATTCCCATTCTTCTCAGAGTCAGCCACAGTTTATTATGACCCGCAAAGTCAAACACCTTTGCATAGTCAGTGAAATACAGATAGACATTCCTCTGATATTCCCCGCATTTAGCTAAGATCCATATAATATTTGCTACAACATCCCTAGTACCACGACCCCGTCTAAATCCAGCCTGGACTTCTGACAGTTCTCTGCTGATGTGCTGTTCCAGTCGTTTTTGGATAATCGTCAGTAGAATCTTGCTTGCATGTGAAATCAATGATATTGTTCTATAGTTTCCACACTCTGTTGGGTCACCCTTCTTTGGAATGGGAACAA